TGACCTTGAGTAAGTCATGTAACTTCTTTTCTCACCCGGCCTCTCTCCCCCTAGAAAAATAGCACAGTTTTCTGTACAAGTGAGTGGTACACTGTGGTAGGAAGGCCTTGGCGGGGGCATATTTAGTGGTCTCTCCCAGTTCTGAAAGTCTGTTTTGTGGCATAGCCAAATGTACAGTGTAGAAGAATAGTCAAACCTGAAATTCTTTAAGCCAAGCAACTTTGCACAGTTACTTTCTACAAGTTTATAAACTCCACTGTCCTTTCTTCAATAGATTGTTAAAGCAATTAACCTACATAAACATTCATAAATATGGAAATATAAACTGATAGCATTTTTAAAAAGATTTTATTTATTTATTTTAGAGAGAGAGAAAGTGAGAGCAAACGTGTGTTAGTGAGTGAGGGGGAGGAGCGGAAGGGGAGGGAGAGAGACAATCAGACTCCCTGCTGAGTGCAAGCCCTGCATAGAGCTCCATCTCAAGACCCTGAGATCAGCCCTGAAGCTGAAACCAAGGGTCATATGCTTAACCGACTGAGCCACCCAGGTGCCCTAAACCAATAGCATTTTTGTAATACTCTATTTTAACCACCAGCCTTTGTGATATCTTTATCTCCTGTTTAGCAAAGGGCAGTTTTTAAATCCACTATTAACTACTGACAAGAGAGGTGGAGATTTGCTGGATGTTACAGATTTTGTATTTTTTCCCTAACACACGGATATCTGAGAGATCATGTCAAAACGGATTGTCAGCATGAGTCACGAAAGTCAACTGCCTGAAGACAACTTAGCAAAGGGTCATGGGCGCCCTTTGACTGACACCTGACTCAGCTGCAGCATATGAAGCAGAAGGGAGGGAGGGCTTGACCAATTGCCAGGCCACTGGGAAGTCACAGCCTCTCTGTGACTTGCCATAAAGAACCTGAATCAATAGGAATAATGGTAATGGCAGCTAACCTACTCATGTGCTTGCTATGTGCTTGTTATGTGCCAGGCACTGTTCGGAGGGCTTTATCCTAGAAGGCAGGTGTTAAGATCATCATCCCCATTTCACAAGTGGAGAAACTGAGGCAATAAATGGAACTAATATGCCTCAGATCACACAGCCAGCAAACAGGAAAGCCCGTACTCAGCTATTCCTGACTTGCTTTACTAGGAAGTGATTTGAAACACACACACACACACAAATTACAAAATATTTTCTTACGTTTTTAGAAAGCTCGGAAACAAGTTTTAGGATTTATGCTGTGTTTTATTACATTTTCTTGATTATTCAGGTTGTTTATGTACTTTTTCTTACTCTGTGCCAGCTTTTCCAATTAATTTTCTGGTTATTTCAAATCCACAGTAATTAGAAAGGCAAAGTATTAGCAGTAAAGAGACTCACGTTCTAGTCTTGGCTTTGCCACAAACTTACTGTGCAAGTTTGGTCAAGGCCTCAGATTTCTCCTATTTATGAGAAGGGCCCTTGCTTTAACTAAAAGAGTTCAGCATATGTAAAGTGTCACCTATGAACTTAAGAGACACTGCCTATTGGGAGCAGATGGCTGGGGCAGGTTGCCAGGGGCTAGTTGCTCTGTCCTCACCATAATAGCTGCACACTCAGCTCCGCCCTCTGTGTCTTGGCTGTGTACCAGCCTAGGATGTCAAAGAGACATGCTTGAGTTGGCCGGCACCCAGTGTGATATTTAGAAAGAAGAAAATAAAAGTGTAGGGATGATCAAATTCTCTTGAGTAATATTGAATGAGAGCATGCCACCCTCCTTCTAATTTCTTCTAAAAGCACTTCTCATGTTTGCAAAGAGAATGACAAGACCACTATATGGGCCTGTCATACTTCCCGATGTGATGTGTGGGCTGGTAGTTCCTCAAAAAACCCCCATTTTTATAGGAACCAGCTCAGTTTCAGTGCCAAGTCTTGTTCTCCAGCATCACCATGCCTACTAACCATGGTCTGTATATGTCAGAGTCCTGAAATTACAGTGATATGGTTATCTGAAGGTATTAGACAGCAGAAGCAAGTGGTAGAAGGCCATATGCATGCAGTGCCTCCACTGTTTAGGAAAAATAAGGTGTGGATATTTCAAAAATCGCTCTTTTTAAGATGCATAATTACTTTTGTCTTTTTAAAAAATATTTTATTTTTTCATGCGAGACACACAGAGAGGCAGAGACACAGGCAGAGGGAGAAGTAGGCTCCCTGTGGGGAGCTCGATGCCGGATTGGATCCCAGGACCCGGGGATCACTCCCTGAGCCAAAGGTAGACACTCAACCACTAAGCTACCCAGGTGCCCTTCACTTTTGTCTTTCCAGTCTACCATGCAAATCCATGGAGACCAGAAAAAAGATTAATAAACAACTTTGTAACTTTCTACCCCAGTGTGATTTGTTTCCTGGAATTATGTATTCATTTGCATATTCAAAACTACTTAAGTACTTTTGGGCCTACCAGGCATAAAGAACTTAAGCAAATTCCCAATCTCTTTTATAAGATTTAAAAGACATTTGAAGAGCTTCTGCAATTCCATTTTTTAAATATCCAAGAATTGGGCAGCCTGGGTGGCTCACCGGTTTAGCGCTGCCTTCATCCTAGGGTGTGATCCTGGAGACCCAGGATGGAGTCCCCACGTCAGGTTCCCTGCAGGGAGCCTGCTTCTCCCTCTGCCTGTGTCTCTGCCTCTCTCTCTCTCTCTCTCTCTCTCTCTCTCATGAATAAATAAAATATTTAAAAAATTAATAAATAAATATCCAAGAATTAGTCCCCTTTGTAACAATTGAGGTATATCTATTAAATGCTAAGTAGTTATTAAATATAGTTGAAAATTCACCTGTTAGTTGTTCCTCTAAGAATGTCCACTCCTGCCTTTATCTGTCTCCTCCCCTTTGCAATGCAAGGGTGCCTTCAAATAGCATTCTTTAAAAGGGAGCTTTACGGCTTTGGAGGAGTAAGCTGATTTCACAGCCAGTTTTGCCACTGCTATGGAAAACAGAGTGCACATGCAAGCCAGCTGAAGTCATACGAACTGCAGGGATTAGAGCTGTGGGGGCCTCCACTACTGCTGTCAAATTGCAATTGGAAACAGCTTTTCCAAAGCACAGCATGAGAAATCGGGAATTCCTGTCCACGGCTCCCCAACCCAATGGGTTTTTAATCAGGCCTAGTACAACCCATTAGAGATCAGAAATATGAACATCATGATGAAACCAAACAAGAGCATATCTTCTGGTCTCTAAGTTTTGTCTGGCCTGGCTCCCTTCCAGCCTGTAATTATTGTCACCAACCAGTGATTAAGGGAACGGTCTCTGCCTAGGGATGGGCGCTTCAGGAAGGCTTGACGCACAGGTGAAACAGGCTCAGTTCAGGGCCCTTCCTTCCCTCCAAGCCCTGGCTGCGCAAATGGTCTCACTGCTCAACTTTTTCACTTTATCTTGGTCACTTCAACTTTATGAGTCACTCAGAGGTAAAGTAACTTATGCAGAGGTCACAGAAAACTATTTAGAACCTTAATAAACTAGAACCATTTGATGAAAGTTGTTTTTTTTTCTTTCTTAGCACTCCAACTTTAAGGGAGAGAGTTTGTTCCCAAGAAAACAAGCTTGAGTCAGTCATTTAGTAAAACAAACAAAAACTAATTTCAGAATTTGATTTGAGGTTAATCCAGATGTAGCCTACTCTCTATACTTCTATCTCTAGAAGCTAGGAGACAGTAGAAAACCCAGAGGTCTTTATCACTGTCCATTTCACTTGTCAACTCTTAAACAGTCTTTCTTTTCTTTTATGATTCTATTTATTTATTCACAAGAGACACAGAAAGAGGAAGAGACACAGGCAGAGGGAGAAGCAGGCTCCCCACGGGGAACCCGATGTGGGATTCGACCCTTGGACCTCCAGACCACAACCTGAGTCAAAGGCAAACGCTCAACCACTGACCCACCCAGGAGTCCCTCTTGAACAGTCTTTGAGACACATTTACTTACAGGATGAAAATTAATTAATCTGACAGTTGATCAGAACATGAACTTATCAGATAAATTACCAGCATACCTATTAAATATAAGTCATTCCCTCTGATGAAGAGCGTGGTATCAGACAGGGATAGTAGCACTTGAAAATGAGCCCACTGTAACTTCCACCTTGAAAGATCCTTAATTAAAACTCTCCTACAAGTATGATTTGCCGACAAAGAAGGATCTGTGATTTTACTTTTTATCTGAAAGTCTCAAATCAAATTCCATCCATTGTATAATGTTCCCTGGCCCACCCTTGAGTCACCTGGTTTCTGCCTTCCACAGCAAGTTTACAGGATGTCTCTTTAGCACAACATAGGTAGTTGCTATTAGGTGAATATTCCTGCTGCCGCCCACCCCCAAGATGCTGGGTTATTTGCCCAAAGGCGGTGATTGTGTCTTATTTCTAAAGCCTTCCCCTTTACTTCTTCTGGAAGTATAACCCAGAGCTGAATTCAAAACAAACCTACAAAAAACTTCTATTGTCTAAAAAGTATTATCAATTTGTTATTATTTAGAGAAGAAGCAGTTTTCAGGGGAAAAAAAAGCATAGCCAAATGATGGACAACATTTCAGATGGTAGAAGGCTCAGGGGGAGAGCATTTAGGGCAAATTGGGTGCTCAGTGAAGGTAAACAGAAGGCTCTGTATACTATGAGACCATTACCGTAAAGCTTGTCCCAAACCAGTGTAGATTTAGAGTCATTAGGACATTCTTTAAAAAGCAACAATCAATTTTTGGATAAAAGTTTTATAAAAATTACTTGTCTTCTAATAAAAGCAATTTCTTAAAAGTACCTTAGAGACCTACCTAAAGAAAACACAGCTATATTTTGGATACATTTTTATCAATCATGATCAAATCAAGGGGAAAAAAAGGAATTCTGGTTAACTCTAAATTAACTAGAGCATTCCATTGTCTGGGCATCACCTTCAATCTGGCAATTAAATCCACTTATGAAGAGCAGCAGTAAGACTCGGCCAGCACTTACCTTCATGAATATACATCTTCGGAGCATCTTCAGGATAAAGTAGCACCAATAGAGGTGAAGGACTTGCAGGACCAAGAGCTGGAGGTTGAGGAAGATGTATGAAAAGAAAGGCTCAAGATAGTGCAGAGGCAGAATCAGGGTGCAATATAAAATCCTACAAAAAAACAAACATTGTAGAATTTCATTACCAGGTACTCATGAATTTTCAGTGGGAAAACAAATACTTTTTCTCCCAAGACATATTACATTTATTTCATTTCTAATCATGCCCAGGAAATTCTCAAGGGAAAACAATATGATAATTTTACCTTTTATATCATTATTGGCCAGCCACAAAAAAATACAGTCTCTGGGGAGAAAAGTTAAAGCAAATGGAATTTTTATTGTCATGCTGCCTACACTCCAGTCTCTGTACCTGGGTTTCCACTTTGCAAACAGAAGAGCATACACAACCCTTGGGGCTTGTAGAACAAATAGAATAATGCATGTTTACACGGGGTTATAATTGCCCTTATGACACAACCTTGTGTAGTGGGCAGCAAATAGGAAATTTCACAAAAGTAAATTTGCCAATAAAAGTAAGGAAGCAAAAATTCTATTATTACTTCCACTTTCCAAAGTGAACTGCGTGCTTTATTGATTTCATGAACAAACTCATGGACATCATTTGAGCTCCCTTGATTACCCAGAATGCACAGTGCCTTCAGATACTACTGCAGTATGAAGGGTGTACCTGTTGCCCTTCCCAAACTTCATATACTACCATGATCTTGGAGTTCCTGGATTGGTTTGCTTGTAACTATATTATTCTACTTATAAAAAATAATATATTCACACAAAATAGAAAAAATAAGAAAAAGAAATAGCATCGCCCAGAATACCACCAGTCTACACAAATTATATTGGGATTTTGTGTATTATCTTCCAGTTTTTTTAATGAGTATTTAATTTTATTTTTTACATGAACATGTAGTAAAACTCTTTTTTGGTGTTCTATGAACTATAATACATGCAAAGATCTGTGTAACCACCACCATAGTTGGGATCCAGAACAGTTCCATCATCTCAAAGACAAAAACAAAAACAAAACTCCTTGCTCTTCCTTTAGAGTTCTACTCTTTCCCCCATGCCTAGAACTTGGCAAACCCTCATCTGCTATTTTATTTTGTGTTTTCAAGAAGGTCATTAATTATAAATGGGGTCATACAGTGTGTCAGCTTCGGAGACTGCCTTCTTTCATGCAACATAGTGCCTTTAAGAGTCCTCCAAGTTATTGCGGAAACCAATAGATTTGTCCTCTTTATTACTGAGTAGTAGCCCACTCTATGGATGTATTCACCCTTCAGAGAGCATTCCCATTGTCTTCCGTTTTTCACAATTACAATTATGAACAGGATTGCTATTCACATACAGGTTTTCTGTTACCATAACTTTTTATTTCTCAAGGGCAAATACACAGGGGTGGAATGGTTGGGTCTCATACCGTAAAGATACGTTTAGCTTTAAGAAACTGACAAGCTGCACTCCAGAGTGGCTGCTTTGTATTCCCACCAGCAACATGTAAGGATGCTGGCTCTTCCCCATCCTCACCTGTACTTGCAGTTGACCTGCCAAGATATCTGCCACTGTAGTCAAAATAGCACTTGTGCGGGATTTTTATGTTCAGCTCCACTTAGCTTGGAATCTAAAATATATTACACTGCTTGAACACCTCAGTGTATGTAGTCTTGCCCAAATGGAAGGCTATTTCTTTCTTTCTTTTTTTTCAAACATATTTATTTTATTTTATTTTTTTAATAAATTTATTTTTTATTGGTGTTCAATTTACCAACATACAGAATAACACCCAGTGCTCATCCCGTCAAGTGCCCCCCTCAGTGCCCATCACCCATTCACCCCCACCCCCCGCCCTCCTCCCCTTCCACCACCCCTAGTTCATTTCCCAGATTTAGGAGTCTTTATGTTCTGTCTCCCTTTCTGATATTTCCTACACATTTCTTCTCCCTTCCCTTATATTCCCTTTCACTATTATTTATATTCCCCAAATGAAAGAGACCATATAAATTTGTCCTTCTCCGATTGACTTACTTCACTCAGCATAATACCCTCCAGTTCCATCTACATTGAAGCAAATGGTGGGTATTTGTCGTTTCTAATGGCTGAGTAATATTCCATTGTAGACATAAACCACATCTTCTTTATCCATTCATCTTTCGATGGACACCGAGGCTCCTTCCACAGTTTGGCTATTGTGGACATTGCTGCTAGAAACATCGGGGTGCAGGTGTCCCGGCGTTTCACTGCATCTGTATCTTTGGGGTAAATCCCCAGCAGTGCAATTGCTGGGTCATAGGGCAGGTCTATTTTTAACTCTTTGAGGAACCTCCACACAGTTTTCCAGAGTGGCTGCACCAGTTCACATTCCCACCAACAGTGTAAGAGGGTTCCCTTTTCTCTGCATCCTCTCCAACATTTGTGGTTTCCTGCCTTGTTAATTTTCCCCATTCTCACTGGTGTGAGGAGGTATCTCATTGTGGTTTTGATTTGTATTTCCCTGATGGCAAGTGATGCAGAGCATTTTCTCATGTGCGTGTTGGCCATGTCTATGTCTTCCTCTGTGAGATTTCTGTTCATGTCTTTTGCCCATTTCATGATTGGATTGTTTGTTTCTTTGCTGTTGAGTTTAATAAGTTCTTTATAGATCTTGGAAACTAGCCCTTTATCTGATACGTCATTTGCAAATATCTTCTCCCATTCTGTAGGTTGTCTTTTAGTTTTGTTGACTGTATCCTTTGCTGTGCAAAAGCTTCTTATCTTGATGAAGTCCCAATAGTTCATTTTTGCTTTTGTTTCTTTTGCCTTCGTGGATGTATCTTGCAAGAAGTTACTGTGGCTGAGTTCAAAAAGGGTGTTGCCTGTGTTCGCCTCTAGGATTTTGATGGAATCTTGTCTCACATTTAGATCTTTCATCCATTTTGAGTTTATCTTTGTGTATGGTGAAAGAGAGTGGTCTAGTTTCATTCTTCTGCATGTGGATGTCCAATTTTCCCAGCACCATTTATTGAAGAGACTGTCTTTCTTCCAATGGATAGTCTTTCCTCCTTTATCGAATATTAGTTGACCATAAAGTTCAGGGTCCACTTCTGGATTCTCTATTCTGTTCCATTGATCTATGCGTCTGTTTTTGTGCCAGTACCACACTGTCTTGATGATCACTGCTTTGTAGTACAACCTGAAATCTGGCATTGTGATGCCCCCAGATATGGTTTTCTTTTTTAAAATTCCCCTGGCTGTTCGGGGTCTTTTCTGATTCCACACAAATCTTAAAATAATTTGTTCTAACTCTCTGAAGAGAGTCCATGGTATTTTGATAGGGATTGCATGAAACGTGTAAATTGCCCTGGGTTACATTGACATTTTCACAATATTAATTCTGCCAATTCATGAGCATGGAATATTTTTCCATCTCTTTGTGTCTTCCTCAATTTCTTTCAGAAGTGTTCTGTAGTTTTTAGAGTATAGATCCTTTACCTCTTTGGCTAGGTTTATTCCCAGGTATCTTATGCTTTTGGGTGCAATTGTAAATGGGATTGACTCCTTAATTTCTCTTTCTTCAGTCTCATTATTAGTGTATAGAAATGCCACTGATTTCTGGGCATTGATTTTGTATCCTGTCACGCTACCAAACTGCTGTATGAATTCTAGCAATCTTGGGGTGGAGGCTTTTGGGTTTTCTATGTAGAGTATCATGTCATTGGCGAAGAGGGAGAGTTTGACTTCTTCTTTGCCAATTTGAATGCCTTTAATGTCTTTTTGTTGTCTGATTGCTGAGGCTAGGTCTTCCAGTACTATGTTGAATAGCAGTGGTGAGAGTGGACATCCCTGTCTTGTTCCTGATCTTAGGGGAAAGGCTCCCAGTGCTTCCCCATTGAGAATGATATTTGCTATGGGCTTTTCCTAGATGGCTTTTAAGATGTTGAGGAATGTTCCCTCTATCCCTACACTCTGAAGAGTTTTGATCAGGAATGGATGCTGTATTTTGTCAAATGCTTTCTCTGCATCTAATGAGAGGATCATATGGTTCTTGGTTTTTCTCTTGCTGATATGATGAATCACATTGATTGTTTTATGAGTGTTGAACCAGCCTTGTGTCCCGGGGATAAATCCTACTTGGTCATGGTGAATAATTTTCTTAATGTACTGTTGGATCCTACTGGCTAGTATCTTGTTGAGAATTTTTGCATCCATGTTCATCAGGGATATTGGTCTATAATTCTCCTTTTTGGTGGAGTCTTTGTCTGGTTTTGGAATTAAGGGGATGCTGGCCTCATAGAACGAGTTTGGAAGTACTCCATCTCTTTCTATCTTTCCAAACAGCTTTAGTAGAATAGGTATGGTTTCTTCTTTAAACGTTTGATAGAATTCCCCTGGGAAGCCATCTGGCCCTGGACTCTTGTGTCTTGGGAGGTTTTTGATGACTGCTTCAATTTCCTCCCTGGTTATTGGCCTGTTCAGGTTTTCTATTTCTTCCTGTTCCAGTTTTGGTAGTTTGTGGCTTTCCAGGAATGCGTCCATTTCTTCTAGATTGCCTAATTTATTGGTGTAGAGCTGTTCATAATATCTTTTTAAAATCGTTTTTATTTCCTTGGTGTTGGTAGTGATCTCTCCTTCCTCATTCATGATATTATTAATTTGAGTCTTCTCTCTCTACTTTTTAATAAGGCTGGCTAATGTTTTATCTATCTTATTAATTCTTTCAAAGAACCAACTCCTGGTTCTGTTGATCTGTTCCAGTTCTGGTCTCGATTTCGTTGAGTTCTGCTTGAATCTTTATTAACTATCTTCTTCTGCTGGGTGTAGGATCTATTTGCTGTTTTTTCTCTAGTTCCTTTAGGTGTAAGGTTAGCTTTTGTATTTGAGTTCTTTCCAGTTTTTGAATGGATGCTTGTATTGCGATGTATTTCCCCCTTAGGACTGCTTTTGCTGCATCCCAAAGATTTTCAACGGTTGTATCTTCATTCTCATTATTTTCCATGAATCTTTTTAATTCTTCCTTAATTTCCTGGTTGACCCTTTCATCTTTTAGCAGGATGGTCCTTAACCTCCACGTGTTTGAGGTCCTTCCAAACTTCTTGTTGTGATTTAGTTCTAATT